TCTTTTTTTTTTTTTTTTTATTGATTTATTTAGTTAATAGACTGCTGTAACAGTCTGATGTAGGAAGTAAACATTTCCTTGCACATGTTGAAAGAGTTTACAGATGGGAAGTCAGTCTTCCCTGAGCTTCCAGTGTCCTCCAGATCTAGGGAATAGTAGATACGGAAGAGTAGCAAAGGGTACAGTCTCTTCAATATACTTGTGAAAGTGCCTGTTTATGCTGAGCTAGTATTTAGCCTGCAGGAAGCTGAGCTCAGTCTTCTATGTTTTCAGTGTGATGTAAAACCTTTTTCTTACTAGTATTCATTTGGAGTCCCTCACTGCCTCTGGTTGCTCTAACGCAGTGGTGCTCAATCTTTTGGGGCCATGGGCCAGATAAGTGGCAAGGGGCCCATCCATGAGCCAGATCAGGCTCCACACTGCCTCTGCTTAGCCCCATATTGCGGCCCCACACTGCCTCCATCAGGCCCCAGTGTGCCCAGATCAGGCCCTAGGCCACCTCTGCACACCGATCCAGTGTGCTGTGCTGTGCTGTGCAGTGCAAGAAGCTCTCCAGGGGTCTGGAAACTGGCAGAAAGGGGAGTGACAGTTGGTGCCACTGGACTCCCACTGCCAACTTTTTGGACCCCTGGGAATCCCAATGGGCCAGATGGCATGGCTGTGCAGGCTAGGGGCTGAACACCCTTGCTCTAAAGAGATTTTAAGAAAAAACACAATTTTGCTTGCCCACTGAAGGCAACATAACTTACAGTCTGTGGGAAGAGACCCTGGGCTTATACATCAGTAATCAATAAAATGCCTGGCAAAAATGTCCCTTGCATCACACCCTGAAGGCTGCCAAAACAGATTTTGATGAGCCATGAGAGGGAACAAATTCCTGTCCTAAAATCTGCAAGAATTAACTTAAGTGGATTGAACAGTAGTTGGTAGACTGAAATGATTGTAGTCTGTCACTTGTGCAGGAGGAATATTTGCAGCACACTGTTGCCAGTAGTGGTGAGGGCCCAAACAGCTGTCAGACAGGATGGACAAACTAAGAGTTCTGTGGGACTGTCAAGTTCGTGACACATACCCACACTCACTGTTCAGGGGAATGTCAGTAATGCTGAAAATAATCAGCAAGGAAAGAAGAGCAGAATAGCAGCTGAGTGACAATGGTTTTGTATTTTTCCTCCAATTCTAAAGTAGAGAATGCACTGGAGAGTAAAGGGAGCAAGCACTAGAAGAGCATGAGTGTAGCATCTTATTGAAAGTTGCCTCCAGTTAGCATAATGTGTGGTTTGGGGGAGCAGAAAGATGCATAGAACTGAAAACTTAAAATCGCCAACCTGGAAATGAGCTGGGCAGAAAGCTAGTGTGGACTAGACAGTCTTGTACATAGAGCATTTTTACTCCTGAAAGCTGCACTGGCAGCAACAGCAAGAACAGCTGCAGTTACAGGTGTTGCATACAGACACGACAATCCTCAGAAATGAAACATGAGACCTTTTGACTGGAGAGTTTGCATTTAAGAAATAGTTTCCAGTTTCCAAAGAGTGGCCACCCCGGGGGGACAGTTGGTTCTCAAACTCTTGTTTGTATAAGGTGACAAGAGAAGGAAGATGCAAGAAGTATTTACAGACTAGCTTCCAGGATGAACCGTGTGATTTTTTTAACTGTTTTAAAAAGTGAATTTGATGCAAGTAAAAATAAGACTTGGAAAATGAATGCGTCTTTTCATAGGGTGAGAGCAGTTACAGTTGACAGGAGTGCAACCTTTGCAAGAATGAGTGAGTTATTAGCTCTGTTTTGAGGGGAGAACCTTCAAGGAGGAGTAGGGAGTTCATTCTCAATGAACAGCCAATCCTTTCCCCTTTTTCTGGGTTTGTAATTACAGAGCTAATTGCAGTGCTTTTTCTTATAAAGTGGACATCCATGAACTGGGCTTTTCCCATTAATTGTCAAGTAGCTGCAAATGAACTTGACTTAAAGCATGACTCCACAATTAGTGATTTTTGTGAATTCAGGGGTTGTATTCCCTCTCAGTGCATTCCCTGCAAAATAGACTTTTCTCTGTTTACCAGGGTGTTTACCTGATTTGGAAACTATTTAGAGCTTATACTTTTCCTTGGCTTAGGTGATTGCTTATGGAATAATTTTAAAAGTATTGTTTAGTTTGGTCTGCAGTTCTCAGGCTTCTGTGTGGCTTCCCCCCCCCTCTGGCTCCCATGAAATTTCACAAGTCGTTCATTTGATCTGTTCCCACTTCCCCAAGTCATTTGGTTCTACCAAAAGCTGATTTTTTTTTAAAGGGGATATTTTAACTAGATATTGAACAACTATATATACAAAAATGTACTGGAAAGCTTGCCCAGCAAATTGTTTGCAATAATTGTGGCATTCTGGCTAATCTGTGTTTTCACTGTTTGCTGCCTTCATAGACGGGAAAATATTTTCCTTCCTTTCATAATGAAACAAATTGAAACTAAAAAAAACAGGAGGGAAGGAGAAGAAACACATCAACTTTTCAAAACTAAACTGTATATTTTGGGGCAAATAGTTCCTTTTTAGATCAAAATGACTGAACCTTCATAATTAATGTTGGCATCTATTAGTGCATCTTGTGCAGTTATGGTCCATAAGAGCCTTTAGCATGGAACTAATGCTTAATTACCTTGTTAGAAAGGTGTTGGCTTATTTACAGTATACAATAATAAACCCTCAGTCTCTTCTGTGCTTCTAGTTTGTGACTAGGTGAAGTGGGATTCATGTAACCTTTTGAGTAATAGCTTTAATTTGCATAATTATGAAAAAGGAACTTTAAAGTCTTATGTGAAAACAGGTGTGAAAAATGCAATACAATAGCATTTTTGCACAGTTTGTCTGGCATTGGGCTTGTTTTCTACAAGTACTGATAATCAGCTAACGGTGCAGTCAGCTAAAAAGTAGTGGATCCCTCTGCCTTTGTGTGATTCTTGGGAATGTTGCAACTTTTATGCAGATTTTCATGCAGGCTCTTCAAAGCCCATCAATTTGCTGTTGTCTGGCCGTTAATTTGTTGCACATGATTTCTAGACTAGTTTTTTTTAAATTTTAAAGAGCTAAAACTGTCAACCCATGTGAGTTTGTTTTTTGTATTGTTAAACAAAATGACAGTAGCAAAATATCATTGTCCTGCTTTAAAAGATCAATTTTATAATTATAAGCATTCCTTTTTTTTTTTTCCTTAGGGTCAGTTAAGTGAAAGCATGGATCATGGAGGAGTTGGCCAATATGAACTGTAAGTTTTTACTAGAAAGTTACTTTGTGAATTGCAAATACTGTGTCTCCAATTTCATGGACTAATTCATAAAATTTAAATAAGTGTGTGTAGTACTTTTAGAATTTTAGCAGTTTCTGTTAGTATGATTGATGTTCATGTTACATTATCTATACTTAAAGTTTATTAGGTGCATCTTGAGAGAGCTCCCAGTTTTGTTTGTTGCAATAGTAAAAATATGTAGATTCTTATACATTGTTGCAAAGCCTAAAATCTCTTAGTGGATTCAGGGTTTGAAACTTCCCTCTATTACAGGGTGTTAAATTCACCCTGGGCTGAATCCATCCTCCCAGGATGGATCTGTGGGGCTGCAGTCAGTGCTGGGGGGTGGGGGGCGTACAGCAGTGCAGAGCTCTGGCCAGGCAGTGGCACTGAGCTTTGGCATGCAGGTGTATGGAGGTATGTTCAGACAGCAAGATAGAGCTGGAGCCAGGGGCATGCAGTTGCACGTGGACTATGGGCAGCAGCCCCCCAGCTAAATGCGCTGCTTGCAGCTCCATGCCACTGCCTGGTGAGAGCTTGGCACCATCACACCGCCCTTATTCTGTGCTGCCCAAATGTCGCTTCATGCCACCACATGCCCTCAGCTCCACACTGCACGCCCCCAGCACTGCTGACTGGCTGGAATTCTGCATTGCTTCCCAGATGCAGCTCTGTGTAGCCACGTGCCCTCAGCTCCATGCCACTGCCCAGCAGCATGGAGCTCTGGCCAGTCTGCAGTGCTGGGGGCACACACTTCCAGTAGCCCACTGGATACCAGCGGACTGGATACAACAGGACGGATCTGGCCCTTGGGCCATATCTTTGCCCCCCTCTGCTCTATTATATAATAATAAGTTATTTTGTGTGTTCAGAAAAAATATAGAACCTGCTCTGAATCCTTGCACAGTGCAGAAAATCTGCGTGCTCCTAGCTGCCTCTCGTTTCTATACATAGTCTAAAGAGAATTCCTAGTGTTAGAATTCTGAGAAACTCCTAAGCAGGCTCTCAGTTATGCCAAAATATATACTGTGCTTCCCACAGAGCAATTTGCTTGGATCGTCTTTCCTGTTTAAAATTAGCTCAAGCTTAAAAAAAATCTAATGGAGGTCTGGTTGGTTGGGTTTTTTTCAGTGGCATGGAACATTGTGAAAAATTTGAGATTTCAGAAACTAGTGTAAACAAAGGTCCGGAAAAGATTCGACCAGAATGCTTTGAGCTTCTACGTGTGCTTGGCAAGGGAGGCTACGGAAAGGTGAGCAATCTTTTTCCATCTTGGTGTTTCAAGCTCTACACTTTTCATGGTGTTTCCAGAAAAATTCTGCCTTCTCGGAGATGATGGCAAGTTGATATGGGCTGTGTCTTGTACATGTCCACTCCTTGTGTTTGGAAGGTTTGCTTGGAATTGATTTTTTTTTTAATGTCTTCAGTCATTTGCATAACTTTTGCCACCAGGTGGCAGTACAAGAATTGCCACTGGAAAAGTCAAGAAAGAAGTATCCGAGTTTTGCGGTGACTGAGCCACCCCTATGACTTAAGTCTGTGGTTCGTCCACATCTTGAATACTGCAGTTCTGATCTTCACATCATCAAAAAGGATTTAGAGGAATTAGAAAAGGTAGAGAGAAGGGTGACAAAGATGATTAGGGGTGTGGAGCAGGTGCTGTACCAGGAGCAGCTGAAAAGACTAGGACTCTTCAGTTTCTAAAGAGGAAGGGCTGGGGGTGGAGTATGACAGAGGTCTGTAAAAACATGAAGGGTATGGATAAAGACATTAGGGAATTGTTATTCACCAAGGCCCAGAACACAAGAACTCTGGGGGGTTCCCATTGTAATTATTAGGGCATAGGTTGTAGAGGCAGGTGGCATAAGCAGTTCAGAAAAGGATTAGACAAATTCCTGGAGGATGCATCTGCTGGGAGCTATTAAATAGTTCAGTCAAGAGCATATCCTCTCCCGTCACTAAACTAATGATGGTTGATACCAACAAGGTGCGACAGGGGAAGGATTATATGCTCCTTGTTTATATGATTCCCTCCTAAAGCATCTACTATTTGCCGCAGTCAGAAACAGGATATTGGGCTAGATGACTGATTGATCTGATCTAATGTGGAACTTCTTACATACGTTCTCACTGACGTTCTCTTTTGGTTAGGTTTTTCAAGTACGAAAAGTAACAGGAGCAAATACCGGAAAAATTTTTGCCATGAAAGTTCTTAAAAAGGTAACTTAGTTTTCATATAGTACTGCTTTTCAAATGGAAAAGGGGGGGGGGGGGGGGGGGATGGGTATGCCTTTTGCCACT